TAGTGACAGGATCATCAGACATTATTATAATTATAACCACAGATTTCAAAATAATGAATGCTACTTTTGAAATAACATCAGCTTGTTAAATGAGAATTTGATGACTGGATTTACATCTGCTTCAATGTATTAAAGCATGCTGATGCATTGCCATGTGTTCTCTTTTATGTGGCACTGGAGAAGGTTTTTCGAAAGCTAAGAACACAAACAACAGGACACGTCTTTATTATTATTATACAGGATTTGGGGCTGAAAGGACAGATGGGAGTCTAGGATAACACTTAGCACCCTGGCATGAGGGGAGGAACTGATGGTTGTGTTATTGATCTTGATAGAGAAGTCAGGGGAGGGGACACGGGCTGGAGGGAATAGTATGAGCTCAGTTTTGGAAAGATTGAGTTTGAGGAAGTGGAGTGACATCCATGCCGATATGTCGCTTAGTAGGTTAGTAATGCGAGAGGAGACTGAAGGGGTGAGGTGAGGAGCAGAAAGATAGATTTGTGTGTCATCAGCATAGAGATGGTACTTAAAGCCATGGGAGTTTATCAAGTGACCAAGGGAGGAGGTGTAGATGGAGAAGAGTAGGGGTCCAAGGACAGAACCTTGAGGGACCCCTATAGAAAGAGGGAGAGAAGAGGAGGAGCCAGAGTTATAGGTTACACTGAAGGAGCACTGCGATAGGTAGGAGGAGAACCAGGAGAGAGCAGAGTCTCGGAGGCCAAGAGAGTGGAGTTTTTTGAGGAGGAAGGGATGGTCAACCGTATCAAAAGCTGCAGAGAGGTCAAGTAGTAAGAGTATGGAGTAGTGGCCATTGGTTTTTGCAGTTAGTAGATAATTTGTGAGTTTTAGTAGGGCAGTTTCAGTGGAGTGTAGTGAGCGAAAGACAGACTGTAAAGGGTCAAGAAGGTTCTTGTCAGTGAGGTAGGAGCTCAGGCGATTGTAGACTAAGCGGTCTAAGAGTTTAGAGGTAAATGGGAGCAGAGAGATGGGTCTTAAGTTGTTCATGTTGGTGGGATCCAGGGAGGGCTTTTTAAGTATGGGAGTGATGTGTGCATGCTTTAGAGGGGAGGGGAAGGCACCGTTAGAGAGGGAGAGATTGAAGATGTGAGTGAGGGAGCATAGGATGGAAGAAGAGGGCGACTGTAGTTGTTGTGAGGGGACAGGATCCAGGGGGCAGGTAGTGAGACAGGCTTCTGAGAAAACCTTATTGACCTCTTCAGTAGTAGCAAGGTCAAAAGAAGAAAGTGTTGAGGGAGGTTTAGTATAAGGTATGCCAAGTGGGATGGATGTCTGTGCAGTGGCGATGCCCCTACGAATTGTATCATTCTTGTTTTTGAAATGATTTGCAATCTCCTGAGCAGTGAGTGAGGTACTGGGTGGAGGTGGAGAAAGTAGAGAGTTAAAAGTAGAGAAGAGACGACGAGGACTGGATGACAAGCTATTGATGAGAGTGACAAAGTAGGCTTGTTTGGCAGCATGGAGGGAGGAATTATATGTTAAAAAAGCAGATTTATATAGGGTGAATGCTTGGTGAGATTTGGTTTTACGCCACAATTGCTCCAGCGCACGACTATGTCGTTTAAGGTTTCTGGTGTCATCAGTGTTGTTAGAGGAGCAAGTGAGTCTAGTGTGGATGAAAGCAAACTGTTGTAGACAGCAGTGGCCAGGTCAGGGCAGGACAGGGGAGAGATTCTGTCATAGAGGCGGTCAGTTGCAGAGTGGAAAGGAGCAGGGTTAAAGTTGTGAAGGTTTCTGCGGGTAATTGTTTGCTTCTTGGAGGGATACGTGTTTGAAGATGAGGACAATGTGAAGGTGATGAGATTGTGATCAGAGAGAGGAAAGGGGGTGTTTGTGATGTTGTAGGGAGTGCAAAGATGGGAGAAAACAAGGTCTAACGTATTCCCATCAGAGTGGAGGACTGTGTCCATTGTGTTAAGGCAAAAGATGAGGTTAGGTTAACCTCCTTGACGGTATTCCCGAGTGTAGCTCGGGGTAACATTTCAGTACCAAAAGCGGTAACCCCGAGCTACACTCGGGCTTACCCTGCGGCACTGCTCCGGCATGTTGTCTTCACTTACCTTACCCTGCGCTCCCACGATGTGTCCCCTGCAGCGTCCCCGGCCATCTCCTCCGGCCGATGCCGGCATCCGGCTTCTGTGTCCTGTCCCTGTGACGTCGGGACGTACGGGCGCCGCCGCCGCCGCCGGCGGCGGGAAATTTAAAAATTTTAAAAAATGTCATTTTTTTTTTTTTACATTTTTCATAGTAAAACATTGCTGTTTTCAACCAATTTCACATACATATTGTCCCTAGTGCTTTGTCCTGTGCCCTGCCTGCATTTTGTCTGTTCTTTCTGCCTGGAAACTGAGAAATGTCCATGGCGTCCAAAAAGTGTCCCTTTAGGTCAAAAGCGGTTTAGATCAGCTAGAGAACAGCGATAGTAAATCAGAACCACTTGCAGAATTGAGTGATAATGATTCGTGGGGGAAATTCGTCATCAGACACTGAAAACGATTTTGCAACTTTGCTCAGAGATGTGCGAACTTGGCGCTATATTTCACATTTCAGTGTTTTTGGTTTGATTATATTATTGAATTAAATTTTTTATTATTTTTATATTATTTTTATGATTATTTATTAAATTATAATTTATGATTTTGTGTTTCAAATTTTATCATACCCGGGATGTTTAATAGACTCTTGTTCGGACAGATTTCAGTGAGTTATTCCTAAAAATTACAGCCTACAATAAAAAAAATACATATTTCCATGCAAAAAAATGGTACCGCTTTCAGCACCAAAAATCTGAAATAATCATAAGGCCGCCAGGGAGGTTAAAGAGTTGGGATGTAGCCGAGTTGTTGACATTAATGAGGATGTTAAAATCTCCAAGAATGATAGTGGGTAGTTCAGAGGAGAGAAAGTAGGGTAGCCAGGCGGAGAAATCATCAAGAAAGCGGGACACCGGTCCAGGAGGTCGATAGATCACGCAATCATCAGAGAAATGGGAGGAAACAGCCAAATGCAGTGAGTCTCGAAAGAAGAGAAGCATAGAGAGGGAGGGTTAGGGAGGACTTGAAAGATGCTCAGTGGGGATAGAAGCAAACCAACCCCACCTCTTTTCCGACCACTGGGTCATATTTTAGTGTACTCTGGTGAAACAGACACTGTTGCAAGATATGGAAATACCCAAATCCAAGCTCCAAGGCACTAGAACATGCATGATTTCTTTCTTCTTTCGTAGAATGGGATTGTATGGTTAATCAGGGAAAAACCTAGTACGTGGCTTATACTAGTAATGGAAAGTGATAAATTGATGGAAAATAGACATAATACAGGAGATGACCAGAGACTGCAGACATAGTACAGGAGATGACCAGAGACTGTGAACATAGTACAAGAGATGACCAGAGACTGCGGATATAGTACAGGAGATGACCAGAGACTGCGGACATAGTACAGGAGATGACCAGAGACTGGACATAGTACAGGAGATGACCAGAGACTGCGGACATAGTACAGGAGATGACCAGAGACTCAGGACATAGTACAGGAGATGACCAGAGACTGCAGACATAGTACAGGAGATGACCAGAGACTGCGGACATAGTACAGGAGATGACCAGAGACTGTGAACATAGTACTGACCAGAGATACATAGTACAGGAGATGACCAGAGACTGCGGACATAGTACAGGAGATGACCAGAGACTGTGGACATAGTACAGGAGATGACCAGAGACTTCATAGTACAGAACATAGTACAGGAGATGACCAGAGACTGCGGACATAGCAGGAGATGACCAGAGACTGCGGACATAGTACCAGGAGAGACTGTGGACATAGTACAGGAGTTGACCAGAGACTGTGGACATAGTAAAGGAGATGACCAGAGACTGCGGACCTTTGGGGAGGGGGGGCTGGTATTCTAACATGGCGGCGGCGGGAGTACCGAGCCAGCCGATCCATATTCGCACCATAAGACGCACAGACATTTTCCCCCATTTTTTGGGGGGGAAAAGTGCGTCTTATGGTGCGAAAAATACGGTAAATATTTCTCTTAAATGTTTAAAGGTACAATCAGAGCGTTGTATTAGTGACGGAGCTGAAGCTGTTGGCAGCAGATCCTCATGCGCAAATTAATTGAGATGCAAACTTTTGAGAAAAGACAACCAAAGTCCAGCTATAAAAAAACTCTTATGAGGTTAACTGTCATGTATAAAACTGAATATTTAAACTGGTTACAAGAATATAAGGAAAGGCTGAATGTATTTGGTAGGACGGTGCTCAGGGGAATATAGGGAGGTGTATTTGAAAATGTAATGTGGCAATCAAGAAATAGAAACCTTTATAAAAAATATAATGATTTTATTTTATCAGACATTATATGCATTGCTCTTATAAGTCTTTTAAAATACTGTGGTCATATTAAAGAGGTGGTTGAAGATTGTAGACCAAAATTGATTTGGGGAGCAAGATTGGATGGAAGGAGATATACTGGCTGACGTAGAACAAGATGGCGGATGAAGTAAATCAAAATGCAAGATTGGAAGCAGGGGATGGTGGCCTATGACCAAGGACAGAAAATAATGGAGGAAGCTACTGAAGGAAACCATGACTCTTAATCAGTTTTTGCATGATGATGATAATGATTATGAACAGAAACAGTAATCATTATAATATGAATATTTCCTATTCATTAAACATAATAAAATTGAACACTGGGTAATTAGCATCTTTGCAACAGTATTGTGATATGGTGCACAACTGATGGTTCATGTCATGGTACTTATGTACCAAAGAGGTAGTTTTCACCTCCATCACCTTTGCTTGTGCTTTCTTGTAAAACCAAGTGAAGTAAAGGGTCATTTTAAACCTAAGAAATGTCTTCTATATTAGATTGCGAATTCGGAGTGAACCCAAACTAGGGTGTAGATTACAACCCCCCTCTCCATCCTCCCCCGGCTTATTAATAAAGTAAGCTTTTGGTTGTTACTTACCATGTAGCTTATTGGCTTGAGATCAAGGTAGGTTGGCACTTCCACAAAACAACTACAAAATGTCATCAGTCTTAGACACATTTCACAGACCTTCTGCACTCCAAATGGAGTGTCAGGATCAGAAATTACCTGAAAATAATGGAAGAATAAAGGAGTTATATGTTGTAAAGACATAATAAGTGACTACTAATAACAGTACTGGAGGACATCACGCACCATCTTGTCATCAGTGATAGATGTTTGGTTGGAAGGCATATCGCTGTAAAAACTACAGAACATCAGAAAACTTAGGAACAAATCCATTGTCTGCAAAGCCAAAAATGGAATAACCAAATATCTTCGATTCTAAAACACAGGAAAAAGAAAGAATGGATAAATACAGTTATGTGTTCATACTAAAGAGACTCTCACCATATATAATATAATTTTAGGATTTCACACTGTCCCAAGGTGGTCCCGCTGTGGCTCAGGCACAGCTCAGCAAAACCTGCAATTTTCATACAGGTTAGCTGCGCTTCCCCATTGACTGCTTAGGTGTCCTGCGGTTTTGCTGCAGTTTCAGAAAGTGCACCAAAGATGCAGCTTGCAGGAGTTTTGGTGGGCTTTCTGAAACTGCACCAAAACTGAAGGACCTCATAGAAGTCTATGGGGAAAAAACGTAGCTAACCCACAGAAACTGGGGGTTAGCTTGTTCTTTAGCGACAGCACAGCAGGGCAGTGTGAGTCTGCCCTGTGTTTGCTGCCCCATAAAAGTATTCTCTAACATTCTGAAACAAAAGAGCTCCATTTTCTGTTTTTATACAAAGAACATAATATGATGCTGAGATTTAATTTACTGTATAAAGATGTTCAGACTGGCAAATCCCAAGATCATGTTGCCAATTTTAATGATTGCAGAACCAGAGCTAATTAGGCACCTAGACACTAACAGATGTGTTCAGACACATATACATCGAGATCTGAGACTTGTAATAAACCCTCTTTAACTCAATTCAATGTATTTTTGAATAAAATTTACATTTTAGTTAGGTGACTCCTGAAATGAACTATGTAGTAGAAGAGATTTTCCAAACATTTAAAATGTAGGTTCATTTACAAGGGGCAAGTCTTGCAAAGTACATCACAACAGAGCTTACCTTAAAGCGACACTAAACTCTGGTTTAAAAAAAAAATCAATAGGTATGCAATCTTAACTCAGGATAGTACTTAATTGCTTTCAGCCTCTTCTAAATTGCTAAAAAAATTAATTTTTTTTGCTGTTGTGATCTGACTTTCTGTTAGAGGGTGGCTATGTTCGCTCTATGGTCTCATTGCATGTAGGAACATAACCACCCTCTCTTGCTTGCTTTGGGGATGGACTATAGACTATGGACTATAGGATGTATAGTGTGCATACAGCAGTGTACATGACTGCAACTAACATGCACTGCTTGTAAGCTAAAGTGAAACTACAGCTCAGAAAAAATAGTCGTCCCCTGCCAGCCAGGACTGTACTATGAGGCAGAACTGTGTAAATCTCGGGTCCAGATGGGTCAGGAATACAATTCCTTTTAGATGGTAAAACTGCTCCCATATGATGTATGTATTTCATCTGAATTTAGCTGTAATACTAGATTTTGTTCATTTTGGAAGGAGTGGGAAATGGTTAAAACCCACGTCAGATTTTTTTTGTGTCCCGTTCAAGAAGTTTCCTTTTATTGTCTGTCTTGCATACACAACAGAAAGTGTGAGGAAATTTCTTCAAAGTAAAGAAAATCCTCTCTTATTGTCATCAGAATGCATATCCCTATTGGAAGATTTCCCTTCTTTTACAGTTCTGGTGACAGCTAACATTTTGGATCTTTGCTCACTTTTAATTCCAGTGACAGCAGTCACCAGTAGAAATAAAGAATGTAAATCTCTCTTGTGGGGACACAAACAGTAGTAAACACTTCAGAAAGGTTCTAATTGTTCCACAAGATATTTACACTAAAATAAAGTGCCTTTAGATACACTTTTAAATTAGAGATAAGGTTTGGTCTGAACTTTGCATGTTTGATGTTTGTAGACCAGTTGCAGCATTTGACCAGTTCACCGGCCCAAAGATCCTTCTGCTTCAGGGTCAGTAAGTTATTAATTTAATCTCTGATTACAACCTTCTGAATATAATGATGAGAACGCCCCACACAGGTCCTATTTTCTACAAATTTTTCTATATTTGCTGCTTATAAACATATACACTGTATTGCCAAAAGTATTGGGACACCCCTCCAAATCATTGGATTCAGGTGTTCCAATCACCTCCATGGCCACAGGTGTATAAAATGGGTTTCCATGGCCGAGCAGCTGCATCCAAGCCTTACATCAACAAGTGCAATGCAAAGCTTCAGATACAGTGGCGTAAAGCATGCTGCCATTGGACTCTAGAGCAGTGGAGACGTGTTCTCTGCAGTGACGAATAATGCTTCTCTGTCTGGCAATCCGATGGACATGTCTGGGTTTGCCAGGAGAATGGTACTTGTCTACCTGCATTGTGCCAACTGTAAAGTTTGGTAGGAGGGAGGATTAGGGTGTGGGGTTGTTTTTCAGGGGTTGGGCTTGGCCCTTTAGTTCCAGTGAAGGAAACTCTTAAGGAGTCAGCATACAAAGACATTTTGGACAATTTCATGCTCCCAACTTTGAAGGAAAGTTTGGGGATGGCCCCTTCCTTTTCCAAAATGACCTGTTTCCAGTGCACAAAGCAAGGTCCATAAAGACATGGATGAGCAAATTAGGGGTGGAGGAACTTGACTGGGCTGCATCTGAACTCGATTGGGATTTTGGGATAAATTAGAGCGCAGACAGTGAGCCAGGCCTTCTCGTCCAACATCAGTGTCTGACCTCACAAATACGCTTCTAGAGGAATGGTCAAACATTCCCATAGACACACTCCTAAACCTTATGGACAGCTTGCCCAGAAGAGTTGAAGCTGTTATAGCTGCAAAGGGTGGGCCAACTCAATATTGAGGTATTGTGATAGTGTGAGGCTCTGTCACTGTGGAAATGGGTTTGAAAAGGACACAGGGCTCTCAAACAGTTAGTTTAAGAGGTTCCAGCAAATGTTTTGCAAGCAGAGAAAGCTATGTTTTAAGCTTTCCCTGGACTTGGTAAGTCTGGATTGGGGCTGTAAGCCTGAAGGATCCAAAGCGGATTGGGTGGGACGGAGTCTTCAGTCTTGTGTCCATGTTTTTCTGCAGGGTGTGTGTGTGTGTCCAGGTGCACACACTCATTATAAGGCAGATCTGAGCATAGCTCAAAAGTGGTGGAGGTGGAATAGCAGTTACTATTGCTGCAGTCTGAAGACAGAGTCCTGTCAGAGAGAGCTGAAAGCTCCTGGTGGAGACTAAAACCTATGTAAGGGGGATTCTGGGCCCAAGGACTGGGAAAGTCTGGCTAACTATGAGAGTCTGGGAGACCAAGAGAGGGTCTGAGAGGCTAAGGAAGCTGTGGAAGCCAGGAGGCCAGTCTAGGAGGCTGGAGGGATTCCATGAGTCTCTGGAGAAACCTCCCAGGAGCCCGTGATGATGGAGAGGAGGGTTTCTCAGGTTAGCTGTGGAGTTGTCAAAGTTGGCAAGAATGTCCCTTTAAAGAGAGAGGGTGCTGTGAGGAGCAGCTCACAGGCTCTGGTGGGAAAAGGGACAGCAAGGAGCTGTCACCTAGGCTGAGAGAGCCTGAATAGCCAGTGGTCTGGGAGACCAAACTGAGCAGAGGCACTGCTAGCCACAGAGACAGATGGCTCAGTATTTCACTGTATGATTTTGAGTGAAGTTGAAACCTCCCTGCATGGGAAACCTTGTGTTGAAAGGACTTTTCAGTTACTGTTTAATACAAAGGGCTAAAAGGCCCTTAAATGTGTCCCTGTCTGGCATGAACTCACTTAAATACGCATCTACCACTGAACTAAGCATCCCCTATATCACTATATATATATATATATATATATATATATATATATATATATATATATATATATAAAAATCTCTCATAGAGGTTTAGGAAGCATAAGACAAGTGTTTTTGTTTTCTTTGACGGTTGTTTTATGGATTGAGGTCAACTTATTTACCAACGTTTATTAGTAGAGCTTTTTTTTTAACATAAGGTGTCAATTTAAAGCATAAAAACATGACTTACTTACCACAATAACACCATATAAAAAGGTGATGCTGATCAGAAGTAAGACCACAAGCAGGAGATAACTTGAGATTATATCTAATGGAAAAAGAGATAGTAGAAAAGACAAAGGCATGTTCCAGTTTATGATATTTAAACAACTATTGTTTTAAACCTGAAACCTCAAATACTTATTTGTATGTATATATATACATTCAGTTGTGTGCAACTCTCTGTGAGATCTCATTCACACTTGTGCAACTTGTCATGCGACTTTGGACATCAAGTGCAGCAGTAGTTCATGCACTACTTTGGTCTGACTTTCATGCAACTTGTGGGCCATAGACTTCACTGGTAACCCTTAACCACTTCCCGACCGGCCGTTGCATATAAACGGCGGGACGGTGGCACTGCAGGGTCGGGTGGCCGTTTATAAACGGCCTCCCCGCACCCTGCTTGTGCGCGCTCCCTGGGAGCGCGCAGCACCGCGATCCGGTGCCCGCTGTGTCCTCCGAACACAGTGAAACACCGATCGTCGGACGGGACCTCTGTGCGAGGTCCCGATCATGTGATCACTGATTGGCCAATCAGCGATCATATGCAAAGTAGTAAGCAAGATGTCACTTGTGACATCATTGCTTACTACGTGTGAAATCTGTGAATGATCACAGAGGCCACATGGTACAAGGCTATTCACAACAGCCTTGTACCATGTGACAAGCTGTGACCAATCACAGCTCACTCAGTATTTCTCAATGAATGCAAGAATGCACACAGAGAGAAAGAGAAATGATTGCTTTTACATCCAATATGGGTGTAAAAGCAATCAGTGTAAAAAAAAAAAAATCTTCATCACCCCCCACAAGTAGTACAGTGTCACCATGGTGATACTGTACTGCTAGGGTGACAGTATGTAAAAAAATAAAATAAAAATAAAAAATAATAATATAAAAAAATAAAATAAAAATGTAAAAGAAAATGTTTAAAAATTATAATTTTTGGTTATAAACTAATTTGGATTTTTTTTTTTACTAAAAAGATAACGGAATAAATTTTGGCAAAGATTTATGATGAAATATTATTTATTTGCAAAATTTAAAAAAAAAAAAAACACTTTTTTTTCAAAATTTTTTGACATTTTCATTTACATAAATACCACCAAAATAAAGCTTTATCTGTCTCAAAAAAATGGTAAAAAATTCAATTGGGTACAGTGTTGCATGACTGCGCAATTGTCATTCAAAGTATGATAGTGCTGAAAGCTGAAAACTGCCCTGGTCAGGAAGGGGGTAAAAGTGTCCGGTCTGGAAGTGGTTAAAAGTTGCATGAAAGTCGTAGCTGCATGTTTTACATGAAACAATGGTGCAACAGCGGGTCCAAATTTGCCGAAGGACAAGTCCCACCTAAGTCGTACCTAAGGCAGATTTAGACAGGAGCCAATTAACCCACCACATGTCTTTGCAATGTGAGGGAAAACCTGAGAACCCAAAGGAAACCCAAAAGAACACAGGCAAAACATGCAAAAAGGTGCACTTTTTAACAGAATTATTATTCACTGCCAACTAAGGTACATTACTTCAGACAACTACTACTTTGACACAAAAACTTCAATAGGTATTAAATTTGAATATCACCATACTGTATATTAAAATCAGAATTTTAAATAAATCATATCTCTGAGCCCAGAGATACCACTTCTTCACATATATCCTGCCCAATAAGTAATGTGTCTTCTTCCAAAGAATACTAGACACAGGTTAGTAGACTCAACAAAAGCCATTTTTATATATGTGTGTTTTATATCAGTGGACCATAGCATTCATACATATTATTAGCAGATGGCCCAGTCTTCTACATACTATCTTCCATCAACCATCATATCAGTCAGCACCATTCATCAGTCACATTATGTGCATTGTAAACAATGCTGTGCCCACACAAAATGCAGCTTGCAGAGCTGCAGATGTGTGAACCTAGCCTAACATTTTGTAGCTAAATGTCATGACACATATTATGGCCAGACAGTGTGTTTCGACTTATACATCCAGCAAAGAAATATAGACTTGTTAGAAGGTAGAAAGTTTTGTATTCACCTAATGTCAGTTTGAATACCGGGTATGAAAGCAATACTGCACAAATATAATCTCCAAGAGTTCAGCTTACAAAGAACATCAAAGAAAGTAGAAACATCTACTCAAAATAAATTCTGTTACAAGCTGTAGACACCATTTCAATATATACACTGCTCAAAAAAATTAAAGGAAGACTTTGAAAACACATCAGATCTCAATGGGGGAAAATATCATGCTGGCTATCTATACTGCTATGGACTGGGTAATATATTAGGAACGTAAGGATGCTACATTGTTTGATGGAAATTAAAATTATCAACCTACAGAGGACTGAATTCCAAAACACCCCGAAAATCAAAGTGAAAAACTGATGCAGCAGGCTAGTCCATTTTACTGGAATTTTCATTGAAGCATCTCAAAACAGTACTGAGTAGTTTGTATGGCCCTCACATGCTTGTATGCATGCCTGACAATGTCAGGGCATGCTCCTAATGAGATGGATGGTGTCCTGGGGTATTTCCTCCCAGATCTGGACCAGAACATCACTGAGCTCTTGGACAGTCTAGATAGGTGAAACCTGGCAGCATCAGATGGACTGAAACATGATATCTCAGAGGTGTTCTATTGGATTTAGGTAATGGTATTAATTCCTTCATCCTCCAGGAACTGCTTGCATACTACTGACACATGAGGCCGGGCATTGTTGTGAACAAGGAGGAACCCAGGACCCACTGCACCACTGTAGGGTCTGACAATGGGTCCAAGGGTTTCATCCCGATACCTAATGGCATTCAGACTGCCATTGTCTAGCCTGTAGAGCTCTGTGCATCCCTCCATGGACCATCACTGACCCACCATCAAAACAGTCATGCTGAACGATGTTACAGGCAGCATAATATTTTCCACTGCTTCTCTAGACCCTTTCACATCTGTTACACGTGCTCAGGGTGAACCTGCTCTCATCTGTGAAAAGCACAGGGCACCAGTGGCGGCCCTGTCAATTTTGGTGTTCAATGGCAAAATGCCAATCAAGCTCTATGGTGCCGGGCAGTGAGCACAGTGCCCACTAGAGGATGTCAGGCCCTCAGGCCACCCTCATGAAGTCTGTTTCTGATTGTCTGGTCAGAGACATTCACACCAGTTGCATTCTGGAGGTCATTTTGTAGGGCTCTGGCAGTGCTCATCCCGTTCCTCCTTGCACAAAGGAGCAGATACCAGTCCTGCTGATGAATTAAGGACCTTCTACAGCCCTGTCCAGCTCTCCTAGAGTAACTGCATGTCTCCTGGAATTTCCTCCATGCTCCTGAGACTGTGCTGGGAGACACAGGAAACTTTCTGGCAATGGCACTTATTGATGTGCCATCCTGGAGGAGTTGGGCTGCCTGTGCAGTGGGGTCCAGGTATCGCCTCATGCTACCAGTAGTGACACTGACCCTAGCTAAATGCAAAACTAGTGAAAAACAGTTAGAAAAGATGAGTAGGAAAATAAATGCCAGTGCCCTCCACCTGTAAAACCATTCCTGTTTTGGGGGTCGTCTCATTTTTGCCCATCTAGTGCACTTTTTGTTAATTTCATTAACACCAAAGCAGCTGAGACTGATTAACAACCCCCTCTGCTACTGAACTGACCAGATCAATATCCCAGGAGTTTAATTGACCTGATGCTATACTCTGATTAAAAAGTGTTCCTTTAATTTTTTGAGCAGTTTATTACTCCTCTATGGTAATGGACATTTTTTACATCCAAAATGACCAAATTATATTAAATTTTTTCAGAAAGCCTCTGGACAAATGTAATTTTATATAAAGGCAAAGCCATATTTATAAGATCTATCCAGAATTGGATGGTAGGGGGATTTCCATTTTAAAGAAAGAGAGATTTTTTTTAGCATAAAAGAATAGGAAACAGTGTAATGCGTGTGAACCATGCAGCTCCTCTTCAGAGAAATATCCTAGAAGACAAGAAATAGGGGTGCAAATATCTGGAAAAGACAGCTTCTCCTCAGTAAATCTAGTAATATCTGACCAGAACTTTCTCACTTGAGGGCACATGTCCTTGGGTATTACCAGGTATATTTTAAACTGTCCACAGAAATTAGAGCATTAGTTTCCTTTCTCGTCATGCTCATCCTCATCACTTCATGCACATTCTTCTCCCTTCTGTGATCACTGTCACCATGGGGCCCCATACAGTCAATCTTACAACTCCCCCTCCCCCCAAAAAAACCCTACAGTTTACTATGCTTCAGTTATGAATGAACACAGTGAGTAATTGGTACTGATCCCTCATTGTTTTCATATAGGAAATGAAGGGGCTGGTAAATGTGACATATTTACTGGACCCTTCCCCCACTTTCTGTCCTGAAGGATCCTATCGTGTGCTTACAGTTGCTTTTGAGAAGGAGACAATGAAGCTGGCAGAGCTGTGTGGGGGTGGGGTGCACACAAGGGGGTCTATGCAGCAAAAGGAAATGTATGATGCACAGGGAGGGTGATGGGTGCAGCCGGGGGGCAATTACTGGAACTGATCCCCTGTATGGCTCTCTCTGCAGCAGATGAAAACCAGTGGGAGGAAAAGGAGAGGAAGTCAGCTTTCAGCTGCTGCAGAGAGCGCTATAAAGGGGATCATTTCCAGTAATTGCCCCTCTGCCATGCCGATCACCCTCCCTACTCACATCTGATTCACCCAACTTCCTGGGCCCCCTGCTGGCCTGGGCCCTGTACAGAACTGGTGGTACTCCCTTGTCCATAGCCCTGTCCATGTCTATCTTTGCTTACTTGATTCACCTCTCTAATCATTATCCATTAACTGGCTGGGAAGGTCCATGACCAAGCTGTATTGCTTTAACTTAAGAAGAGAAAAGTGAGGTCAGATCTTTGCTGTGGTATCTGGCAGGACTGTGTATATTACAAGACTGAAAGACCAGCACTAGACCTGAGTCGACAGGCTTTGAGCTTGTCAATGGCATCAATTTGACATCAGTTTGAGAATCTGCGGGGATCATTCAGAATTTATTGACAGATGCTTTTGACTTGCAGTTAACCATTTTCCAACCTGTATATGGCATGCTTCAAGCAGGTTTTGCATTTCCATGGACTTGTTGAGAATGCAAATCCTGTCAGATGTGAGCAAAAGGCCATCATCACAGACCCTTACACATTTTTGACAGGTAAGGCAGCTCACAATTATTTTGTAACTGAGAATGTAGCTCTTTGCTTACATGTCCACTTCAAGTGTTATAGTTTTCCCCTGAGATTCATACCCATAGAGGTAGTAGGAAAATTTTGCGGGTGATGTCTGTCTGCCATTATATTTTGGGCAATTCATTTTTAATGTCATGTTCCTCAGTGATGAATTACTGCTAATCTACTCATCACATACAACATCTCTATCACAACATACTATATTTTTGGTATATTTTAAACTGAAAAACAGCTACTGATAACTTAGCTAGAACCGCAGCATCTAACAAGCACAGTAGATGATTAACATTAATTTCCGGTTTGCCACTTTAAGAAAAAGCAGAAGTCCAGGAAACCACAACCGCATATAAGAAATATTAATAGTCTGCAAAACAAGCCTTAGCTTCAGGTAATGACTGTGTGCTTACCAAGGCGGATATAATTGCTGATCTCAAGGCAGCAGCTCTTTCTTCTGGCCAGTTCAACAGAATATTCGATTAAAAGAATAATGCTTAGTATCTGTAAAAATTAAAATTAGAATATGTGTAAGGTGCTGCACAATATATTGAACAGGATGCACTATTTTATGCACAGCATCATAGAATATTTATGGTCAATAAATACCTAGTGATTCCTCTAGTGGGCCCTTTATTTTACTTATTAATGCGTGTGTCTAATGATAAGACTATGTCTATGCCAACCATGTAAAAAAATAAGTGTAGGTTTGAAACTCTTCAATGGTTTTAAAATATCCAGGTTGTCTCATCTTCATTTTTATTTATGTTTGCTATCCTTCTAGTTTGTTCAGTTCTTCATATTAAATGATACCTTGCAAAGCATGTTGGCAGACTTTGGTTCTATTTTTCCTCTCTTTTATTTGAGAGTGTCAGCAAGCATTTGATGCTGCAGTATATGTAAACTCTAAGATCAAAATTTCTCTTATTTTCTCCCATTTGGACTGTTACATATACCATTGATAGCATTTTATTACAAATGATAGCATTCTACAAATACAAAAAAAAACTGTTCAGCCATAAATCTTGTGAGTTGATAAGTTCCTGTGCTTTTATCAGTAAGCAGTGTTCTCTGCGTGGACTACAAGACACTCCCCCTTGCTATGGAGAACAGAGGGAAGTGTTATGTAACTCTAACTTACCTCTTATCCATGGGGTCCCCAGGCAATAGGGGATCATGGGGCCCCTGTGTCCTTGCCCAAACTCAAAAAATCCTATGAAAAAGGTACCGGGGGCATCTCATGGAGCCCCCTACTGACCCTGGGCCCTTGGGCAGTGCCCGAGTTTCCAAATGGTCAGTCCATCCCTGCTCTTGTCCTAGGATGACAATGCTGCTTAGTACAATTGTCACCCAAAAACAGAAAAGAAGTTAATGTCAGGATTGCTGGGTTGAAATAAAGGGGCAAAAAGTGTGCAAAAAATGAATGTAACCATTACATCTAAAGACAAGTAAGCTGCAATACTACCATTTTTTGGTCTTGGGATTGGACACATTTTTAACTCTAAGTTTAATATTTCTATTTGCCTACATGGAACAATCTGTGTGGAATTACTGCAATGCAAAGTGTAGGGATTATCTCTGGACTTCACAAGCAGGATGTATGTCGCATGACTTATATGTGTTTATATTGCATGTACAGTGTGTGAGTACTTGATGTGTAGGACCACACAATCCCTGAGTTAGGAAGACATCCCCATGTTCTGAATGTTTTCCTAAGTGAGCTATCCTGCATTCTGAAGAAGCAAAAACATGAGCATTCACCGTCTTAGAATAAACCTTTTGCTGAATAATAGATATGAGACATTACTATACTTTCTTAATAGGATAGTAGATGTGAAGGGTTCATATGGAACTCTACAAATTCCTTGAAGTCAAATGACATTTGGGAGGGGGAGGTTACAAAAAATGAGGCAGGTGAGTGGCACTTTCTCCATGTTTACCTCGTTGTTGGGCTCCAAGTGTGGGTAACATAAGAAGCCTACTGAGGGGTGAGTTCTTCTGAGCTACCCTAAGATCCTGTAACAGAGTCACTCTACTTTACATACGGGTGTACCTTTACTCTATGCTGTTTTCATCAATGCCCTGGGACAAAGCTAAGGGTGCCATGGAGGAATGCTCAATCTTAAGGGAGGCCTGCACTCTTAGAAATGAACGTACACCATGTACACTTGCACACTAACTGTCCTCTAGTTAACTCCCAGGTCCCTGTGACAATGTACACTTTCACTGATGACTTGCATTTAGGTAGGACATGCTTAGCCCTGTCCACATCCACTGTCCAGCTTTTGCTGCTACTTCTCCTGATAGAAGAATGGGAACCTCTGTGCCTCCAATCCAATCCCATTGCTATTGCTGGCGTATGGAGTGCTGACAACATCTTCACTGCTGCTGGAGGCCTCCCCACCTGAAACAGGTACACGCTAACGACAGGCTGCTAGACTGACTGTGGCTTCCCTTACCCTTGATAATCACTTGGCTGACTTCACACCAGGATGACTCTTAGCACTGTCTCTTCATACCCCAATGTGTCTAGTTACCCAGGCTGTAGACTACGTGTGAAATGTGTCAGTTACTTGCAAAGCACTCATGTTTCAGCATTTTACTTAGAAAAGTGCAAAACAGTCCACATGCACAAGAACAGTTCTTCCCTACATCCCTAAACCCTAACTGAGGCTTGTGTGCTGCCCCAGCATACCTGCAAAGGTGGAGACCATTAACCACTTCATTTCTGGACAGTTTCACCCCCTTCTAGTCCAGATCAATTTTTAGCTTTCAGCACTTTGAATAACAATTGTGTGGTCATGTAACACTGTACCCAAATTAAATTTTTTGCATTTTTTCATACAAAAAGAGCTTTCTTTTGGTGGCATTTGATCACCCATGGGTTTTTTTTTTTTTTTTGCACTATAAAAATTTTGAAAACAAAACTTTTTGCAAATAAATAAATTATCTTTCTTCATAAATTTAGCACAAAATGTATTCTGCTAACTTTTTGGGGCAAAAATAACCCAAAACAGTGTATATTATTTAGTCTGTGTGAAAGTCAGCTGAGACCCTAAAATGCCAGACACTGGTCATTTGGCAGTGATCAGGACATTGGTATGAGGCATGGTGGTGATCAGGACATTGGCATGAGCAATGGTGGTGGTGGTCAAGACGCTGGTATGACAGTGATCAGGATGCTGGTATAGGGTATAGTATTAATCAGGAAATTGGTATAATGGTGATCAGGACGTTGGTACGGTGTATGGTGGTGATCCAGACTCTGATATGGCATATGAGGATTATCAGGATGTTGGTATGGGGTATGGCGGTGATGAGGATGCTGGTATGGGGTATGATGGTGATCATGGTGCTGGTATGGGGTATGGCTGAGATCAACACCCCCCCCCATCTCTAAGCAACAGCTTTCAGCTTCTGTCAGGGACACATATGCTGCTGATCGTTGTTTCCATAATACAGCGCTGCTTTCAGCTGACACTTTATTGCAATACAGGGAGTACTATGATACACATGTGAAAGTTCTCCAGTTTCTGTCGCAATTTGTCACATGCCTGTTTGAAGGGGTCCTACGAGACTCCAAAACCTTGCCTTGCAGTAACTATGTGATTGTTCATTAAAACGTTTGGACCCATATTGGTGATCCTCGGTGTGCTGGTGACATTCTCCCTTGCTGATTCTGTTAGGTTCCAGCCGCCGGTTGCTGCAGCACCCACTTATACTCACAGCCATTTTTAATGCAGGAACGTGTGCATTTGGATTGTACACTTGTATGGCGGTGATTAAGATGCTAGTATGGCAGTGGTCAAGACATTGGTATGGTTTATGGTACTGTTTTTGTGAGAACTGGGACAGGTAACAGGGGCTAGCTGCATGATTTATTATGATTACACTGGGCCAGTGATCAGGGACACTAGGGCTGGCTGGCACTGCAGTCTGTGAGTGTACAAAGCAGACTGACAGGCAGCTGTACACTCACAGGCTGCAGCATTGCTTCTCTCTGCTCTCACAGTGAGAGCAGAGAGAACTGATCTTTACTTTCACTTGGTATTATTTACTATGTGATTGCTGTGATTGGACACAGCAATCATATGGTAAAATACCATGTGACCACCCAGGCACAACAGTAATCTTATCCACTGTGTCTGGGTGACACATGGATCGCCGGGCTCCTGGGTGTGCACTCTATGAGCCTCACAGGAGCCTCTAATGTGGGCTGATGTACAGGTACGTTAGCCCGTATCAGCACTGCTTCCCATCCAGCATCCATAGGCAATCAGCGAACGGGAATTATTATTATACAGGATTTATATAGCGCCAACAGTTTGCTCAGCGCTTTACAATATAACGGGAGACAAAACAGCAACAATACAGTTCAATACAAAAGGGTTAGGAGGGCCCTGCTCCTTGGAGCTTACAATCTAAGATTTGAACATTTGTTCCAAAGGAGCAAGTAGTGGATTCCAATCTACCACATTACCACCAGAATGGGTTTTCCATTACTTGCTCATCTAAAAATAATAAAACTCTGGCGAGGGATACAATTATGTAATACTAGCCATTATCTTACAATAATAATTAGGATATTATTGGATTATGGCGAAGAAAAACAGGAGGACTGGAGCCTGAGTAAGAATATCAAAACTCCAAAATAGGCAGAAATAGAGCCAGAAGTTAGGACACGTTGATTCCACCACTGGAGTTCCAAGTGTCTGTGTTCTCTTTATAAACAGGAATTTATTTCAGAAACTCTTCCAAATTTATATCAATTGTCACACTGTGCTTCTAAAAAAAAATCCTTAGCTCATGTTAAACATTAGAATACATGGGTTTATACAAAAGTTAATTTATTTAGAGTAGAACAGTTATATAACTCTATCTCTATTTGCAGAGTCAGAACAACCTTATAACTCAAAATACAACTTACAGTTTCAGGTTTACAGTTAAAATTCTTATCACAACACATGTGACAGGCAGATTCTCTTTGTTCTAGTTTGACAAGTCTTTTAGAGATACTGTTTAGTATTCTCAGTTTTTGCAGACCCACTCCATTCCTGGAAATTAGACTGTATTGCTGTATTTCCCCTATGTACTCAGCAGGTGTCCCACTGACAACCTGAATCTAAACAAAACATGCCAGCAATTACAATTGATGAAAAAAACAGTGTGGGACACCTCCACCCAACCCCCCCCCCCCCCCCATTCATACCAGGCCCTTTGGTTCTGGTATAGATTTTAAGGAAAAAAAAATGCATACCAAAATAAAAAAAAAAAACAGCCCTTGGGTCTGGTATGGATTTTGGGGGAACCCCACACCAAAATGAGTAAAATTATTATTATTATTATTATTATTACTACGAGTTTATATAGCGCCAAAGGGTTTGCTCAGCGCTGTACAATAGGGGGGACAATACATGGCACAGTACAACAACAACAACAAACAACGTACGAGGGGTAAGAGGGCCCTACTCTTACGAGCTTACAATCTAGGAGGGAGGGGGTAT